AATTTATTAAACATAAATAAAATATTAATAAAAATTAAGTATTAGATTATTTAAATAATTAAATTATTATGAATTAGAATAGACTTTCAAGTAATGGAGATTCATTTTACTTCACATTGGGCAAAGTAATTTTTGGTTTTTTAATGCTTGAATAGTATTCCATTATAAAACAAGTAGCATGATTTGGTGTAGATATTGAAGCAACTCTAATCATTTCTATATCTTCACTACTTGACAATCTTGTTGCTCTTTGTAGTGGTGAATTGAATTAATACATAGTAAGCATTAATTCTTTCAATTGTTCTTGTATTTGTAGCATTGCATTTTTATTTCAAGAATCTTTGCCATCATTAAAAAATAGAAAAGAAAATATCTAATATCTCTTAAGATAAGTAGATAAAAGTATTAAAGAATAATAAAAAAAAAATAATAATATCAATTTAAAAGTAGACAATCTACAACTTCTAATATGCTTATGTTTTTTCAAAAAAAAAATATAATCTACTCTTCATCAAGAAGAGACAAAGTTTTGATATTATAAGTATATACTTATTAGTTTATCAAGGACAAGAATTCAATAAAGACAAATAAATAAGTAGAACTTTTTTAAAGAAAGATAAAAAAAAAATAAAAAAGTATATACACATATATATATATATTTAAAATATATATAAAAGAAACTAAAATGGTTATTATTAAAAGACAAAAAAATTAGAAATCCTTGGAAGTACAATAAAAATAAAAATAAAAAGAATTGAAAAGAATAAAGATGACTTCACTCTTGTCTCTATATATATATATATATATATATATATATATATATATATATTATCTATCTAAGAGCAATGTGGTAATATTCTATAGGACCTCAAAAACTTGTCCAATTTGCAAGATACATGTCTTAACTTGCAAGGTAAGTTTTCTTTATGTCCATCATATTATTAACTTGTACAATAAGCTACCAATATGTGTGATACATGGCTTACTTGTTGACCAAGTTTCTAACCTATTAATCACTTATAGATATGTATAAAGGTGAAACTACATGTACAAAGCTTTTAAAAAGATATTATAAAATTAATTTATTTTTATCTACTTTTATCTATTCATATTATTTATTCTATGAGAATAAATATATATGTTTGTGATAAATAATAACTATATTTATTATCTATATTGAAAGTTATTGATACATGCCAAACTTAAAGACAAAATATTTGTTCATTAGCTACTTGCTTTTAGTAAAAATAAACTTATAGATATTAAAAAAGAATATGATGCTTGTCGAGTAAGCATGCTCTTAAATCAAGAAGATAGCTTGGGTTTAATTGGCAAGCATATTTTAAAATATAAACTGCCTTATGAAACAAAGAATTTTTGAGTCAACATGCTATTTTTTTTGCATGCAATGATGAAGTTTCTATAATAAACTAATCAATATGAAAAGCAATAAAAGGAAAAAATTGAGATTTATTGGGAAGATTGGAAAGCTGTAGAGATGGTTTGAATAGAATATTTGAACATATTAGAGGTAAGCAGATGGCCTCTGCACAAACTCTTGCTTAATGTTGACATATCCTTAATGCATTTGCATAATCTTGACCTAGTCAATGGTCTTTGTAACGGAATTTAGCTAATTGTCAGATATCACACTAATCAAGTTATTGAAGTTAATAAAAGAAAAGTCTAGCCACATTGCATTCATTCCTAAAATCATAGTAACTATTGGAAAGTCAAGTCTTCCTGAACTTAGCCGTAAGTAAAAAACCGCCTATAAAATACGGAGAAACATTCTTGAGACGAATCAAGGTAGACCACTGTCCACGACTGCAGTGGCAATTGTAATCATCACATTCAACTCCTCCAAAGTGAAGGCAAGTTCAGAAGAAATCTTACGGTTGTACTTCAAGGTATGAGCGTTTATGACAAGGCGCAAGGATCCGGCAGTGGGACGAGAGAAGATAGCTACAGTCTTCTTCTGACGAGATATGTACAAATGCGATTGATTTTGACTCGTAATTCAATGTTTGCGATTCTAAATCATATGAAAAATATGATGAAAGTGTCTCAAGATGGATCAGCTTCTCATGATCGACGTTTTGACATACAACCAAAATCCATCCACACTGGTAAAAGTTGACTTTTAGATAATGACTAGTTGGAGGACATATAGGAACCAATACGCATGAGTGAATGATTGTGTCTTGAGTGTAAGTTTCCATACAAGTACCACCAATTCCTTGTCATGCATAATCAGGTTGGATAAACAATCGACACACTCAGTCACATGGATTGTAATCAATCCTCAACCTCAAAATCAGTGTGAACTCTAACGGTTCATTACTTTCAACTATCGCCAAGAAGAACGATTCTAATCAGACACCTTAACATTCTCAGAAGTCTAAAGCAGTGCCCAGCTCTCCTTTCCTCACAGGCGGATCGGTTAAGCCATGTCCTAACAGAGTTCTGCCAATCCTTCTAGAAGTGCCCATTGGAAATGACATTATTATGCTTCACCTTGATTTCAGTCCTGATTGCCAATGAGAGACGGTCAAGTGCCAATTGATACCTTCGGCAAATTCAAATTGGTTGTAGACAGGGAAGAAATCGTTGTACATAATGTGTACAAAAACATATCTCCAGAAGAGGCAAGGCGCATAGGCGATAGAACCCGAGAAAACAAAGAGAGTGAGAATGAAAAACAAGGGCCCTCATCTCAAAGAATTCACGTCAGACGCGTAGGAGATTGATTCCAACTTACGTGAATTCTTTGAGATGAGGGCTCTTGTTTATGGATCAATCACGTAGGAGATTGATCCCAACTTACGTGGATCCGCCACTCTACTACTTCAATCGACTTGTTGTTGTATGCCTTAACTAATTGAGAAATTGTGGAACAAGTTTGACAACTTTACTGCAACCACGGAATTGTAATTGAAAAAAAAATTGTAATTGTTTGTTTTTTGACTGACAATATCACTAGTTAACAAAAATTATCCTCAATAATGGAACATTGCGTGTCAATATATCTTCCACAATTTAAATTCCAATGACAAACCATTGGAAGATAGCATGGGGTTAGCAGAGCCCAGAGCTCGAGCTCACAATATAAATAAAAGAGAAAAAGAATATATATATATATATATATATATATATATGAATGAAATGAGTTAAGTATGATGCAAGCAGAAGACTTGAAACAAGAACCTACAGATTCATTAGATCAAATAATTTATTATGTTCTTTGTGTATACAATATACATAAAAATTTGCAAACATTTGTCATGAATCATCTTTTCTGTCAATATAAAAAGAAAACATTGTTCATGTTCACAGAATATACTAGAAATTTGATAAACCACAATAGCTGAGACATATTGTTCAATCAATGCTGTAGGAAAAGCTTTGTTCAATCATTCAAAATATTACATAAAAAACATGGCACAACTCAATATTGTTATACAAGAAATAATCCAATGGTTCCAAGCTAAAAAATGCAGCAATCCTCATTACATTGATTTTGACTGCTGTATGCACATCTATGTTACAAAAGTAACTTCCAACACTAAACAAAGTCAAACTAGAGACTTGAGGCCACAAAAAGTTGACTCTGACATGGTCACGAGGTGGAGAAAATTTTGCTTTGGAAAATAAAGGATAAACTTTTGAAGACCTGGGGTGGTGTATAAACTTGCCTTTGAAGCATAGATATCTTCAGAAATAGAAAACATAAAGAGTGGTGCCTTAAAACATACTTAAAAATGTCAAATATTCTCTTTGAATCATTAAACCCCAACACAAGTGGAATATCAAAGTATATTTTCAAATTCTCAAATCCTGTCACTGAAGCATAAGAACTATAAACAAAGTAGCACAGAATATATATAAATATAAAACATTTGATTTGTCCTTGAGTCATTTTGAACTTCCTTGGGATTTGATCCCAACTTTACTACCAATGGGGGTAGTGAATTTTGCTCTTTCAATCAAGTCAAATTGACCTTGACCCCTCCGTAGCAGAAGGAAATCGAACCCTTGATGTTTTACACTTGGTACTGGATGATGCCACCAGAATAATATCCGTCTTCGCCCTGAGATTAAAATACCGCCGTTTTAACGTCGTTAATTAGAATTAAAAAAACTATCACCTAAACTTGTCATTAAATATTCACCATATGTATTCTGATTTTCATATGTATTAAGTATTTTAAACAATCATGCTGAACTCCATACTTTATTTCATTATTGACCTCATACAAATTCAATAATGAAGTATAAAAATAAAACCATTTGTATGTGTGTGTGTGTGTACACACAAAACAATGCACACACATACATATAGATATATATATATATATATATATAGATATATATTGTAAAGACTTGTTACACATAAATGAACAATTGTAAAGATAACATAACACGTTGTTATGTTCATAATATCTTTTGGCAGTTCGTTTATTCACATGATCTCAAAAAAAAAAAAAAAAAAAAAAAAAAAAAAATCCACTGTCAAATTAACTAAATTTTAGTATCCACCAAGATTTTAAAATAAAAATGATACCTATGATTTAAAAATCATTCATAAAACCATTTTTTTTTTAAGATTTTAAATATCATATCAACTTATAAAAAAAAAGTAAACAAAAATAAACAAAAATAAACAAAAATAAATCTTAGTGTGGGAATGTTTTAATTGTGAACCATTACAATGAAATAATGCAGCAACTCATAGAAAAATCAAAACCGACATATTTAATCCAGAATCGAATCCCCTAGCAAAAGTGGTAAAGTTGAAATATATATATATATATATATATATATACATATGTAGTGCCATTTCTACAAAGTGATTGTTCTGGAAGCTGTAGCCAGCTGCGGAAGCCCTGACCATTATGTTGTGGGTGTTGGTGCCATTAAAAAATGAAACTCTGCTCCCAAGCTTCGGGGTTCTGAGTAGCGGCTTTGTAGTGTTCTGATTTGTCGCATTGCAATCTTGAAAACGCAACACAACCCATGACATAATCTCGAAGTTCATGTGGATTCGTGCGCGACCCAGGCTCCGAAGTCAGCTTCAATCATGAGGCTTCACCACGCGCTTGTCAAAGAGGCAAGGCCACAGTTAAGAGTCCAGTCTGCCGGCACCCTGAATCCATTCACTTGGTTCGCCTCACTCACACCCACCTGTCCGTCGTCGTTCACTAGTTACGGTGGCGCGGAGATTTTTCTTAGATCATCAGCTGGGTCCTGTTGCATAATTTTGGAGCTGCGTGCTGGTTTCTGTGTGTTGAGGTTTCGTTTCTGAGTGCGAACTTCGGTGGAGGTAGGAGTAGTTAATAGCGATGACCATGGGAAGAGGCAGTGCGATGTTGGCTGTGGCGATTTTCCTCGTAAGTGCCGCAATGGGTGTGCGGGGAGCCACTTATACTCTGCCCGGCTCATGGGTGGTTCCGACCGAGAACGCAGATATTTACAACGTGTGGGCTCAGAATGTCTCCAGTTATCTTGTTGAAGGCGATGTGATCAGTAAGTCCGTATCCTTCCCTGTATTTTTCTTTCCTTGAAGTCGTAGATGTATTCGGATGAGGAGCTGTTGCTGTTTAAACGACTGTTGATAGCTTGATGGTTTGGGCGTTGCTCTGTAAGTTGTCGCGATTGGGATAGTTTACGGTGTAAATCGAGCTCTGGTTTCCTCTGTTTGGCCTGGAATCATTTTTGGGTCAGAGATCTCAAGAAATTTTGGTGAAATCAAGGCGAGACTGTGAGGGACCAGTTCATGATATTGGTAGGAGATGCACAAAGAACAGTCGCTAGCGTTTATGTTTAGCCGGAAGCACTTGCGTGGATTGGTGATGAGGGATATTCTCACTGGCTTATTTCAACTTGATTTCGAATGTAGGAATGCATCACGAGGGCACATTTATTTAACTGACGTCAATTTAGTGTCACTATTGTCCCTTCGAATCAGTGGCACCTGGTTTGATGTTATAAATATGATCGACGTTGTGGTGAGAGGTGAGCTTGGAGCACAAGAGATTCTTGGACTTGGTTTGCGTTCAAGTTTATACAATGCGAGAATAACCCCAAAGAATTCAATTAAGCGAATTAAGAAAACGTATATTAGTTTCTTTCGTTGTCGCTTCGGTCGATTCCGCATAGTTTCATCAGAGGAGACGCGCAGTTGGCGATCTGCGAGCTAACTTCTGAGCTAAAATCTATCAGTTTACTGTTTGGGTGCAGTTTTCCAGTATGTGGCAGCAGCTCATGACGTGGTAACTTTGGGAACCCAAGCAGAGTACGACGGTTGCGATTCAACTACTCCCTTGAACAGAACCCAGACAGGGAACGACGCCATCATCGTCAAGGCAGGAATCAATCTCTACATTTGCGGCAGAAATGGCCATTGCCAAGCAGGTCAAAAGGTATCCGTCACTGCATCTGCAGCCAACATAATCACCCCGACGATCTCACCTGTCGCAAGCATCCCAGCGCTCTCACCGCCACTGAGCGCCCCAACGATCTCACCTGCATCAGGTGCCGCACTTCCAGCAATCTACACCATCACTCCAGCTGCAGCTCCACACTCTGCTGGTTCCGTGACTGTACCCCAGGCCGTTGCCGCCGCCACAGTCGCAGCGGCGGCATGTTTTGCCCTTTTCTAGAGATCGGTCTTTTTCGTAGAAATATCTATGCATAAACAATATGATATAAAGTAGAGAAAAAGGATATGGTATAATGTTAATTGTTGTTATTATTTTGATGAATAAAAATTAAAAATGAGACTATATATGGTTTTCTATAATAAAAAATTTCACTACCCAGTCTTAAAAAAAAAACCTTCTTCTTTTCTAATCTTTTTTACACAAATATATTTTTTTCTTTAAATTACTTTTACACAAAGTCTTATTTTTCTTCTTTTAACTAAATCTAATTCTTTTTACTTGGACTCCATTTACACTAAGTCTTCTCTTGATTACTTTCAACAAAGAATGTAGGATTTAATAATTAATTTTGAGAGATTAACATCAACAATTTAGAATTAAGTATTAGGGATTTGTAGAGGGTAATTTGAAATTAACAAGAAGCTAAATCAATCAATCAATCAAAAAAAAAAAAAAAAAAAAAAAAAAAAAACATATATTTCTGATCTTTGCACCAATAGATACTACCATGCCAACTTTATAAGAAAGCACAGCAAAGAATTTCCATAAGACCCTAACAAAGCTACTTCTTCCATACATTAGTTAAACAAAAGTTAATCCATTGGTACTTCCTTTCTTCTAGCCTTTAAGCTTGATAAGCCTCAATTCCTACTCTAATCCAATCCACCACACATTCTTGATGCAGATAGTATCCTCAGCCAAGGCAACATGTGCAACTCCTCTAACAGTGGAAATAAATCAATTTAACCTCTTTTATTTAAGTCAATCCAGTTTGCTCTCTACAAAACTCCAATCCTAGCATACATGCAATTTACAATCACAAGAAGCATAGATATTTTGTGCAACAAAGAAACCAACAACATCAATACTATGTCACAATAGCATTATTGCAAGTAAGGTCATTATTAACAATAATAATAGTCTTTAACATAATAATCTTCATAAAAAAGGAAAATCAACACCTCGAAGTTACTTACTAAGTCCTTAGAAATAACAAGTAGAAGTGACTACTTGACAATGACTATATAACAACCATATGACTAATGTAGGTGCTTCCTTCTTTAAAATAGCAATCCAAAACTGCAAAAATACCACAATAGAAAGCAAAGAATGAAGATTATATGTTTGAAGAACCAATTAAAATCTTAAAGAATTTAGACAACTACAATATTGAACACAAGCCCTTATGTCTCTCATCTTTTCACTCCAAGACCAAGAAGCCAATATTATGCATCAAAATTAGCAAAGATAACTTATAACCTCCATAAGCACCAAAGTCATTGATTGCCTTAGAATAATTATTGGAGAATAAGTTGATGACAAGAAACACAAGGGACTGCAATAATAAATTCTTATTAGCAATTTGGAATAACAAAAATCTACATAGAGCCTTTTAAAGATTGTATAGACATAGGTGAATCTTACTTCAATCTAGCAATGATTTTATGGACATAAATGGCATGTAAAAATTCTATTTTTATAATTTTAGAAGAAAGAAATAAAAATAAATAAATCATACTTTAATTTCTTTAGAATTCTTAAGAAGTACTTTAAAGACCTTATAAGATAATCTTAATTCCAATTTAATTTAAATATATTATCTATCTTAGACAAGACTTTCTTTTTGGATTTTGATAAAATAGAGATAGCATTCCTAATGACACCTACAAGCAACCAAATTAGAGAAGAATTAGATATTGCTATCCAAAAAAGAATCTTTTGCATAAAAAGCTTTTATAAAAACTTTCATAAGTTCTTTTTTTTTCTTTATAAAATTAAATCAAAAGCTTAAGAATTCGTAATTATAGTTAAAATCTAATTTTTAAGTATAAAATATTATTCTAAAAATAGAATAAAATTTATAATATTAGAGTCAAAGAATTAGACAAAGTTTTTGGTTTAATGCATGATTTTATATTTTGAAAGCTTTTTTGGGCTAAATAAACATTTTTAATCAAATAAGTGTAAAAAAGATAAGTATTTTAATTACCTTCATTATCCAACATCACATCACTATTATGGAATCTTTTATGAATAATTATTAAGACATGAATCTCAAATAACCAAAAACTCAATATATTCTTGTATAATTCAAAAAGAATAGATATTTACTCAAAATTAATATATTATTGAAACTAGAATGGCTATTGCTAAAGACAAGATGATTAAAAAGTCTTGAAACAAGACTAAGAACTAGAAAGGTGTTGAAAAGAATGAAGAAGGCTTCATTCTTACATCCAATATATACTATCTAACTAAAAGCTATATGACAGCATTCTATAGGGCCTCCAATACGTGTCCAACTTGCAAGATACGTATCTAACTTATAAGACAAATTTCTTGTATGTGTGCCATATAATAAGCTTCTTCCACAAGCTACTAGCATGTGCAACATGTGGTTAACTTGTTGGCCAAGTTTCTAACCAACCAATCAACTACAAAAATTTCTAAAGTCAAATATACGTCTATGAAGCTTCTAAGAAGCTTTGCCACAAGATAATATCAAATCTACCTACATTTATCTTCTATCTAACTCTTCTTATTTAGATATATATATATATATATATATATATATATATATACATATATATCAGTGACAAAAATAAGACTTTATGGATTATTCTAAAATACATTCCAAATAGTTCATTGGGTCTAATCAATATATATATGCTTCCAAAAAATTAAAAAAAATAAACCTAATATAGATTGATCTTACACATATTCTATCATCCAATATCTCTTTTATTTGAAGAGATGATTAGAATATAATAGAAACCAAGAAATAAATCTTCTTATTGTAAAAGAATTACTCTTAAAGACAAAAAATTCTTGAAAATATTTCAAATCAAAACTTATTTTAAATAATTATTTTAAGTATGATAAGTTATTTATCTATTTATAAAATAATAAAAAATAAGATATTAGAGTCTTTGTACAATTTAATAGGATTCATATCAATCACCACTATTTTTCTTCAAGTAACACCTTTTAATACAAAATTAGAGTAGATGTTGCCATATTATACCATTTTCTTATAGAATTCTTTCTTTCATTTATTTGTATGTTGTTGTATTACATATTATCTTGTCTAAGAATGCATCAAGCATCTAATTGTTGAAGGTAACTTGTATTTTGTAACAAAAAAGAATCTATCAATCTTAATATAATCCAAAATAAATTTTTATCAGATCTTGTTAATTCTAATCAAACTTTTATCAAATCTTTAAAAATCTTCAAAAAAACCTAAAAGAGTTATTAATTAAATCATAAAAAATACTAAAAATATTCTAAAGATATCTTAATTTTTTTGAAATAAATTCTAAATAATTTTTAAGTAAATCCTAAAAATCTTAATCAAATCTTGATGAAATCTAAAAGAAGTCCTAAAAAATTAAATAAAATTATAGATGAATTTTTAAAAACTTCGAAAAAATTCTAGTAAAATTTTTAAAAATCTTAATAATATATTAAAAAAATCTAATAAATTTTAATCAAATATTAATAAACTCTTAATAAATTATAATAAATTCTAATCAAATCCTAACCAACTTAAAACCAAATCTTATTATAGTTTTAAAACCTCAATAATTGATAATTAAACTATTGATTTTACTTTAAAAATTTTATAAATTATAATCTATTAATTAACATCAACTTAAAAATTTTAAAAAAAAAAAAAAAAAAAAAAAAAAACTCTCAATTTATTCGGATATAAATCATCTTCTTTTTCCAATCTTAATATTAATCCACCAAAAACTATTTTTTTATTTTACGATTTAATTTCCCTCAAATTTTAAAAAATAAATTCAAACTAAATTTATTATTAGCTTATAAAAATTATCTTAATTAAATTGGTAAATTATGCTATATCAAAGAAACCTTCATTAATTTTTAAAATCTAAATTTAAAGATCTTTATCCAATTGGATTTTATTAAGTTTTAATAATACCATTTTATTGATCTTAAATTTAAAAAACCCATTTAAGATAAGAAAATTTACAAGCACACAAAATTTTACTTATCAATCTCCTATAATATTTATAATATTTTTAAATATGTATACTCTATTATATTTTTTAAAATTCTAAATCACTTAAAATACATTTTGACTTTTAAAAGCCCATAAAAATTTAATATAAATCCAAATTATCGAAAATTAGTACTTAAATAAATTATATAGTTTTTTTTAATCTTATTTTGTGATTAACAAAAGAAATCCAAAATTGAAATAGATGCATAATTTTGTGACTTGGAGTCTAGTTTCAAGCTTGATTTACAACTAATCCTCTTAGAATATTGATATTTAGCTTTTAAGAGAATTTTTGCTAGAAACTACTTTTAATTTTTTTTAAAGATGATTAGTTTTTTTAATAATCTACTATGTTTTTATGTTGTTTATGATCCTATAAAGTAAATAGAAGTCTTTTTTACAAATAAAAATTAGTATTAACACTAAATATATTTATTACCTTCTTATCTTTTATTTATATCTTTTTATAGTATAATTCATATTTTTTCTATGACCTTACAGTTGTGTTACAATATGACATCCATCTCATATAAACTTTTCTATTCTTTGGTATATCCAAAATAATTTAAATCTTGTTATTGTATTCATACTATGTTTTTAATGTCTTTATTTGATTTTTTTTTTCATTCTTATTATCCAAGTTAAAATCATCTTTTTATCTTAAAAGATTTAAATCTTTAATAAGATCTTTTATTTTTATTTATTTATATATTTATTTATTTAAATATCTTTATTTTTTTTAGAAATTGATATTTTTAAACTTACTCTATCTAGCTCTCATAATAAATAGGTTGCATTATTGTAAATAATTATTATTATATATAGTCCAAAATAATATATATTATTTTCTTAAAGTAATATTTTAATTATCTAAGACATTATCATAAATCAAAACTTAATCAATTTTTTAATTTCCTAAGATCTTAATTAATATTTTTTATCAAATTAATATCTTAATTAATATTTTTTTAATAAACTTTCTATTTTTTACCTTTGAATTCTATTTTCATATCTTTTAGTCTTTATTTAAGTTACTAAATAGTAATATTTAAAGATTCTTTTCTTGACAATCTATCTTTCTATGATAATATACTC